CGCGGCCGTCAGTGGCCATCGAGGGCCCGAAGCATCCTAAGCGTGCCAGGCCACGCCACGTCCTGCCTGGCACCCCAGGGCAGACGCACGCCTGGGGCTCTCCAGGACGCGGAGCTGGGCAGCAGCCTCACTGCAAGTGCGGGGGAGCTACGCTGGCCGAGCGGGCCAGCGCTGAACGCACGCTGTGGCACCGTTCCCCCTGCAGCCAGGCAGTGAGCCCCCTTCCCCGTTCCCTGCACCCTCCGGGGGTCACGGCATGGCTGCTTGGCCTTTCAGGCAGGACGGCCTTGCTGGTGAACTGCCTTTGTGCCTCCGCAGCGCTGAGCGCACCAGCGGCATGTGAAGGCAAAACAGTCGCACGGCCCCAAGCTGAAGTGCAAGAGGAGTCGCCTTGGCAGCTGCTGATAAACGCTGCGGGCAGGAACGTAACAGCTAACTAGGCAGCACGGCACGGGGACAAAGGAGCTAACAGCAAACAGAGCAGGCTGGACTGAAGAGAAGCAAGCACAAGACACTTGGCTCAAATGCCGCAAAGAACAGCGATGCGGCCGAAGACCAGGCTTTTAAACTGTGCTGCATTTCAGCAGTGCTGATGGGAGAAGTAGGCAGGGGAAGACAGGGCTGCTAACGAGGGCAAGCACATGGAAACGGAAACGGAAACAACTGCATCCAGGCAGAAACAAAGCTGGGAGCTCCAGGTACCTACCTCACCACCCTCCTCCCCAGAGGAGGCAGCACACATCCTCGGCGGCAGCAGCAGCAGCGGGTGTGCCCGGATGGCCCGCAGACAGCTAGAGCTAAAATCAGTGCAAAAAAGCAGGCTGTGTTTGCCCGGGTCACAATCCTAATCCTATCCCTGTAATCACCGTTTTAAAACAAGCTGCCAAAGATACGGAGATAAACAGAAGCTAGATAAAAAGCAGATTGTGCTGGGCTGACCTGAGAACGCTGAGGAGGGAAATGACTTTCTAACCGCAGGGAACGTGCCAATAAGCGTCACACGGGATTCATCCAAGCGCTGGGCTGCCGCCTCCTGGGAGGCAGGGGACAAGTTTGGAGAGAAGAGACAGTGGATGGATGTCGTTTACCTTGACTTTAGCAAAGTGTTCACCACGGTCTCCTATAGCATCCTCGTAGCCAAACTGGAGAGAGACGGACTGGATGGGCTGCTGGGCTGAACAGACAGCGGTCCACAGCTCGAGGCGTGACGGGTAGCTGGTTGCTAGTGGCTTTCCTCAAGGGTCGATACCGGGGCCGACGCTATTCAGCACCTGCCTCAACAGGCTGGACGATGGGCTGGATTGCACCTTCAGCAAGTTCACAGACAGCACCAAATATGGGGGAAGTAATCGATACACTGAAGGGCAGGGTTGCCATTCAGAAGGACCTCAACAGGCTGCAGAAATGGGCTGAGAGAAACCTTACGCAGCTCAAAGGCAAACGCAGAGTCTAACAGCGAGGACAGAGGGCAAGCCGGGCAGCACCTCTGCAGAAGAGGGCCTGGGGATCCTGGCGGACAGCAAGCCGACCGCAAGCCAGCAGGGTGCCTGGCAGTGTTGAAGGTGTCAGATGTGAACAGGCCCTCCAAGCACGAGTATACTACTGCAACTGCCTAATAAGCACATTTTGTAGCCAAGCTGATAGCGTTCACGAGCTAACCCCACGTGTACAAAAATCGATAAAGGGGCAGCCAACAAGAGGGAAGCGGAACGAGCAGCGTGCGAGCAAGGGTGCTGCAAGGGAACACAAGGACAGATATCTGCGAGATACCAGAAGAGCTGAGCTGTGCAAGAAACAGGAAACGAGTGCCAGGTTGTTCCAGCTGAAGGAAGACAGAGCCTTGGAAGATAAGGGCTGGGACCGTCCCTGGCCTGCCCAAACAGGCCAGGAAGAAACGGCTTGCCTGATACGCGGACAACATCTGTGTCCCCTGAAGAATCAAGAACACATAAAAAGCCTGAGCAAGCAATGAACAATGGTCAACCCTACAGCAAGTGAGACCCTGTGCGCCGGACCGGACAGGAGCTAAACTCTGGCCAAGTCTATGTCTGTGGTAGGTTCAAATAAGTGAGTGTTTAAGATTTGTGGAAGCACTTCTCTGGGTGGTGACTCTTAGGGGTAATATTGGATTACTGTAAATGAATGGCAGCTTGGACTTGTCTTAACTAAACTAACCTAAACTAAAAGGGTACAACTCGGTTGCTGGAGCAGTGAGGAATTCCAATCAGCAAAGGCCAGCCGCAGCCGAGGCTCCTTTGACGAGAGGGTCAGCAGCAGGTCCGATAAAGAGACTACCCCTCTTCACTGGGCGCTCACAGCACTGCACGTGGAGCACCGGGTCCAGCCTGGGCTCCCCAGTGCTCGGCAGACGTGGACAGACCGGAGCAAGCCCAGTGGAGGGCAGTTAAGATGATTAGGGGGCTGCAGCACAGGATGTACAAGGAGAAGCCAAAGATCCCTCTGGGAAAGCAATTCCTGCAGCACCACCACGCAGGGCAGCAGGCACAGGATTTACCCGACTCCTTCTGTGCTGATGCAGAGAGCTGTCTCACCTCCCCAGGCTCCCTTTTCAGGCGCTGCGGATCCTCGGACAGACGCGAGAAGAAACATGCCCTAGCAGGGCCCATGTGCTCTGCTGACCCCAGAGGAGGGCCGCAGCTCTGCAGCCCACCAGTGAATTCCCTGCTGCGTTTGCAGGGACACCAGTCCCCGCTGCAGGCAGGGCTCACGAGCTGGCATAGAGGTGGCCCCGGGAGCCTTGCGAGCGAGCACAGCGCAGAGCGAGACAGGAGGGCAGAGCGGAGAGGCACCGGCGCAGGAGGCTAGCAAACACGACTCGGGCGAGGAGGGAAGAAGAGAGGCCACAGCACAGAGCATGCATAGTCCAAAGCCCTTGCCGCAGAGTGAGGTGGACGCGCGAGCCCCAGGGAACGTGTCCCTGCAGCCACAGCTCCTAAGCCTTGACACAGCGGCAGGAGGCGGGCGGCGTCTGTCCCCTTCCCCTTCCGGGGCACCTCCAGCAAAGCGCTCCCTCCCTGCAAGGCTCAGGGGAGGGGGACACGTCTCTGACCTTTCTGAGGCCCATCCTGTCACCAACGCCAGGCCCAGGCAGCAGGTGGGACAGGACATGCTCGGTATAACCCTGGACATTACCAGGGGACAGCTGTCCTGCTGGGCTGCAGAGAGAAGAGCCCCGCGTCTCGCATGAGCACGGCGAGTCAGGACAGCTGGGCACCATCCGCTTACCCTGAGGCTACAGGCTCTGGCCTGCTCCACGTGAGCAAAACTCAGCAGTGCGTGTGCAGGAAGGGGACAAGGTGGGACGTGACAGGGACACAGTGTCTTCATCCTGTGCCATCTAGCCACCCTGTGGGCACTCCAGCATTTTTCACACTTGGCTGGCTGCAGCATGCAGGTGGCCTTGCAGGCAGGATGCGAGCGTTCCCGCTGCCGCTTCCCCTGCCGCCTGGGGAAGGAAGAGTCAAGCACAGCATCCGGGAAGCGCCACGGGACAGGACAGCAGCGATAGGGGTGACGATGCGGTGTTTGTAAAGCTGTGCGGTCAACGCATTCTTAGGCCAAGCGTATCAGAGCAACGCCAGCGCAGACCCTGAGCCTGTGCTGGAACTGCCCCAGCCCCGCGCGCCCGCAGAGCGGCGGCACTGCTGGCTGAGAGGGCGGAGGCAGCCGCCGGGCCCCAGAGGGGTGCTGTCGCACCCTGAGCTGCCGCGACCCCGGCTGCTTCCAGGCCGCCACACTAAAGCGGCCCTCCCCATTACAAGGGCACCAGCGGCCTTTCTTGCGGCCGCCAAGACAGACTGGGCACACAGAAGGACAAGCTGCCACGCGATGCCGGGGCAGAGACCGAAGGGCCATTGCTCTCGAGTCCTAAGACCCAGAGCAGCCGGGAGCTCCACTGGCGCGAGGAGAGCACGGCGTGCCCCCTGCATGAGGCCATGTGTCCAGAGCCAGGCGCTCCCCACGCTGCTGGCCCCGGCAGCCCTCGCCGCCCCTTCCCAGAGGCCATACCGACAGCATCCCGGCCACCTCGCCCTGGCAGCCCGCGAGCAGGGCACGAGCTAGGGAAGCAGAACGAAGCTGACCTTTCCTGCCAAGACAGACTCTCCCCTTCCAGCCCCAGGAAGGCCTGTCCTCACTAACACGCCAGCTGTCACAAAACCCCGAGGTGAACCGTCCGAGGCAGCGAGGAACCCGGCTCTGCTCTCGCCACGCCACCTCAGGCTAGCTCACTGGCTCTGAGGTGGACAAAGCAGGCAAGGCAGAAGGAACAGACATTACAACGTGCCCACGAGAACACAGCCTTTTATTTCCTCTCCATCATGTTCTCACGGCAGATGAGAAACAGTCACTACAAAGTGCTGGAAAGCAAACACGGAGGACGAAGCAACGTGTGAAACACAGGCAGAGCACAGGAAACAAGCCGACAGTCAGAAATTCAGTGGTCTCTCCCAAGAGAACAGCATCAGTACACAGAGCCTTTACACAACAACAGCTTTAAGAGTCACACCCAGAGACACACAGGCAGCACCCTCCTCTCCGAAAGCGCCCTATCCCAGCGGCTGGTGGCAGGGGAGGTTCTTGCTCACATGCCGCTGATCTTTAGGCACTGAGATATTTCATGCCACGATGGTCATTGGGGACCAGAGCCCCACAGCCGAGCGGAGCTCCCAGCCGATCCCCAGTCTGGCACATGCCGTGCCCTTAGCAGAGGGCCTGTGGGACCAGCCCATGGAGTAGCAGGGGACACCATGGCATTCCCAACCATCAGCCAGCCAACAGCAGCACCGAACTCCGGAAGAGCCCAGAGCGGCGGCGTCTGCCCTGCCACAGCCTGCCAGCAGTGCTGAGCCACCCTGCGCAGCAGCGAGGAAGCCAGCACAAAAGGGGCACATCCAGCACCTTGCTTTGTTTTGTCTCCTCCCACAGCTGCTCATTTTGGTCTCAGCACCTGCCAGATTACAGTGTAGCCCCAGGACATGCAGGGCACTGAAGGCAGGGGTGGTGAGCTGTGTCCTTTCCCCCAAGCCATGCAGGTGGCTTGGTGCAGTTGGGTGTTGTGAGTCAGGCCCCACGGGACAGAACTCACCACTTGTTCAAACCCCCCAGATACTTATTACAGCTCTGCCAGCCAACCTGTGTCACCCATGACCACAGAGTCATGTGCCACGATCTACTGCTTCTCAGCAGGTGCCTGGGAAGGAAAAAGGCACTTTGGTATAGCCCAGCACAGGCCCCAGGATTGTTTTAAGAGTAGCAGAGGCTGAGGAAAATAGAGCAGAGGTTTTTCACGCTTACTTCTCTAGAAGCCACATTGCATCTGTCCCCCATACAGTAATCCAGTTAAGACGGGGACACCTGCATTACCAGCAAAGAAAAGGACCATATCACCAGGCAGCCCACAGTGAACAGAGCTCCTATAATCTCTAGTGCAACAGAAGCAGTGGGCACATTTTGTCCAGCCAGAGGCTGCAAAGCAGCTGGGCAGGAGCACAGCTGGGCCACTGCATTGACTGCAGAAGCGTGGCTGAAGGAGTCACAGTCTCGCTGTGCAGTGTCTGTCCTGACCCAGCCAAGGCCACTCTGCTTGAAACGGAGCGCTGAGCTCTGCACTGCATCCAGGACCCTTCTGAGGGGATGGGGCAGCAGGTCACACGTACTTCTTCCACGCAACAGCACTTTTATTAAGTTAAAGCAAACAGTTATGCCGGCACAGAGCTCTCCTCAGGGCTGTGGCTGCACACAGCAGCTCAGGTACTGGATCAAGCGCACAAGAGGTTCCCAGCCCAGCTTACCTCTGACTGGTCCCGGGGCTCTAGTGCTGCCTTTCTGAGGGCCTTGGCTCGCAGGGGCTGGAGGAGAGGCTCT